CAGTTCTTCGCTGGGTTCCTCCACTAACTCCTCCACATCGGCACCATCCAATTCCAAGCCCATTTTCCAGCCCAGAGAAACAATTTCCTCAAAGTCTAATTCTGAAATGCATTCAGGCCACAATTTTTTCCAGCCAGAGATCAGGATTATTGAGTCACTTCTTGCCAGGCTTTGTTAACACTTTCGCTCACCCCGCGCGCCACCCCTCGACAGGGCGATATGGGCCCCAGCGTGTCACGGAAGCGCGCGTTAATTTCGAAAAGTGTATACTCTCTTCAACTTTGTCACCTCAATTCTCCTTCTACGAGATTAAATTTGGTATCATTGTGTTCGCAATAAAATTCTCTACAACACTAAATGCATATAAACTCCAAAAGCCCAGCTAATTACCCGCAGCAAACAGAGAAAGTGCGAACGAGTTACCCGGGAGCGCGCAAACGTGATAAAATGTTTTCACTATTTTCACTCTGGTCACCTCAATTTTTGTCCTAGGTCTTTCAATTTGGTCTCAATGGGTTCGTAATAAAATTCTCTAGAGGAACATTAGCATATAAAAAAAAAAACCTGGTCACGCTCCAACCGCCGACGAGTTGAAGACGGGCCACGCGTTAGCCGTGAGTGAGTGCTCAGAGGCCTTCCTGCTACACTCCCAATTCCCACCCTTTTCAAGCCTTTCTTTCGCAATTTTCTTCCTGGAAGGGCCTTGTTCATGATTACTATCCATCGTGGAGTAAGCGTAGATAGTTTCTAAAGCCGCAGTAAGAAATATAGCCACGGGAAATAGCCGAAATGTTCACACGTTTGAGATGCGAGGGGAGGCGACATTGGTCACAACAGTGGAGCAAAGACAATGGGCCCACGGCATGTGCCAAGCCGCCTGAGGGCCACGAGGCTCAACAAAGAAAATGGGAAGACATCGGCGCACATTTTAAAACCAGTCCCCAAAAAATCGGATAAAAACCTGATTTTTGGCGAATTTTTAAAGTGGATGACGCAATGCTGCGTCATCCCCGGCATTACCGCCAGTAAACGGATGACGCAATGCTGCGTCATCCCCGAGCGAAAGTGTTAACGAGTTTTAAAGCACTACAAATGTTTAAATGATTTTTCCAGAACTCTTTGAGGGTGAGGATTGTTACATCAGTCATTCCAAAACATTTCCGCAAAAGTGCCCTTTCATAAAGGTTCTTAAAATTCGCTATAATTTTCTGGTCCATAGGCTGAATTAGAGAAGTGGTATTAGGAGGAAGGAACTTTATTGTGACAAAATTAAATTTGTCCAACAATGAATCCACCAAGCCTGGAGGATGAGCATGAGCATTGTCGAGGAGAAGCAGGACCTTGAGTGGTAAACTTTTCTCCAGCAGATATTTTTGTATGGCAGGGCACACCACCTCATTCACCCACTCCGTAAAAAATGGCCTCGTCACCCTAGCCTTACTATTAGCCCTCCACATCACACACATTTGGCTTTTCTGTACATTATATTTTTTTGAAAACCCTTGGATTTTCAGAATGATATACAATGGGGCCTCGACTTACGATGCTAATCTGTTCCCAGACACGGATCGTAAGTCGAAATATCATAAGTCAAAGCAATTTTTCCCATAAGAAAAAAAGGGATTTGAATTAATCCATCCCCCACCCTGCAAAATATTAACACTTTATGCGGATCAGGACATTACCTGGAGTCCTGTTTGCCTAATCGCTTCCGCAATGTGGACATAAAATGATGTCCTCAAAAAAATATTTGTATAAAATTCAATTTTAATCCGATTTACTTTGGGTTTGTTTCAAACTGCGCGCCATGAGGTTCTCTTTCTCGCCACTAGGCTGCATGATACAATAAGTTCATGAAAGGTGTGGACCACTTCGATTAAATGGTATTACCATTTTACCAGGAAAACTCACAAGTGGACCAAAAAGATAACGTTTATTTCCTGCAAATGGCATTGCATAATGCCTTTGTTTTGTACAAATACAACACAACTAATCAAAAAAAGCTAACATTGCTACAGTTCCACGAGGTGGCAATTTGGGCCCTATTGCGCTGGGACCCGGAAGATTGGCCTCAAACAGCAACAGTATCTCAACACTTGCGGCACGCTCCAGACATAAATGATGACAGGTCCTGCCTATGCTGACGCCATACAAACTCCCGGACCATCTGGTGTGAGGCGGCCTTTGTTCACTTCAACACCTCAAGCTGAAGCAGCAACCGAATCAGAACCCGAGATGTCTGGCACACTGCCATTTGACGAGACGGTTTTGTCAGATGACTCTGACTCTGAATCAAATGTTGAACCTCCAGCGATTCATTTCATTCTGAAAATCGCATGAACTACAAACTGAAACGAGTATTTTGATACCAGAATGAACACTGTATCACATAAACTGCCGTAAGTAGACTCGAACCTTCATAGATTTTTTTTTGGGTGTAATGTGTGTCTGCATGAGTGTCCCAAACGGGTTGCAGGTGGGTGACTTTAGCCGTTTATACTGGTAATGCTTCCCCCATATCATGTATTATATGCATATGTCTGTTTAGGGAATTTAATCCGATCAATGTACAACCAAAAATAACTGTGTGCAACAAGTATAAACTTGACAAACATAACAACAGTAAAAACATTTTGTGTGTGTTTGACGCTCACTGATATGTTCCAGCATTGTTTTATATTTGGCGCTATTCTATCTTACGCTTTGTTGATCTTTTTTACCTACGGGCTCATAGAACATTCTATTGCGAACACATTGGCACAAAAATGAATGACGTACATAGGATAATAATGTCAGGACAGTGAAATAAGTATAAACTTTCAAAGCGCCGTATCGCACAAATGTCGTCGCGTCACCGATACCGGGTAACAGTTCCGCCCACTTCCCACACTCTTGCGGGTGGGCCGCGACCATTATTCTACGTTTATATTCATATCACCGTGTTGGGAATTTCATTGCGAGTCCATTGATACCAAAATTAATGCTGTAGGACAAGTGTGGAGGTGATAACAATCCCAAGAGTAAAAACATTTTGTTGCTGTTGGGCGCTCACGGCGAGTCATCTACATACGTTTTTATTTGGTGCTGGTATCCCTATACCTTTCGTGACCTTTTTTACTAATGTTCTTCTAGAGAATTTTATTGCGAACACGTTGGTACCAAAATGAAATACGTAGCTCGAGAACTAAGGTCAGGAGAGTAAAAAGAGTATACACATTTTTGTTTTGACGCTTAAGTGACAAAAACGCCGCGCGCACATACCTCTTTTTTTTTTAACCTTAGCCGGGCGGGCGAAAGTGTTAACATACAAATGCATTTTATACTGAATACAATGTTTTTTTCTAACTACAATGGAGTACCTAAGTTTATCTTACCTTTATGGAGGGCTCTTGATGGCATATGGAAGATGGTGATGAGGGGGGAAGGAGGAGAGTTGTTCCTGTTTGGAAGGGGAGTCCCCTTCCATTATCACATCAGGCAGTGATGTTTTCTATTCGGGACACACTCTCCTACGTTTTGCCTGAATACCACTAGGACCTGGTTGTGGTTCAATGCTAATTGTCTCACTACAAATTTGTCAAGAGACATTTGTTTTTACTTTCGTTTTAACATTTGTCTGTAATGATGCAACACTTTAGCACCCATAATGTCCTTTTTCTTAGCCAGTATGGTGGATATCGTTGACTGAGATTTGTTGTACTGCCTAGCCAGTTCAACAACTCGCATACCATCTTCATATTTACGAATGATCTCTTGTTTCTGCTCTATGGTCATTCTTACATGGGATCTCATATGTTGAGCCTTACTACTGACTTTCCTGGGACTCATGGTGTGATATATAATAATTACTTTAATGTTCAAAATGCAAAAAATCACCACAAACGTGGAATTTCTTATAGGCACGATCGTCACTAAGCGGGCAGCTGTAGTAAACTGAGGCAGGTCGGACCGCGTGACCGGGAACCACGCGCTCGGTCGACCCGAACGTGTACCAACAAATACCAGAAGTCAACGACACCCTCGGATGTCGAGTCACATTTTTCGGTGAAATTTACATCGTAACTCAATGTAAATATGTGGGCCTGCGGGCCGCTCCAAGCAACAGCCTGCTGGACCAAGTTATCACAAGTCGAGCCTGGCCTCAGGCGGGGAGTAAAAGAACTCCCGAAAAACTCTCCAGGTATGCTCCAGGTAACCAGGTCCGAACCTGTGATGGCACTAATTGTGATTTCTGCCAGTTCACTAGGAACCAGAACAAGGGTGAGCTGAGAACAAAACCAGATCCCTGGTTTGTAGACATACAGCTTGGCTAGAAGCCCAATTGAAGTAGGCCAAAATGTGAACACCCAACAACTAAAGAGGAGTAACCACCACATGCATCAACCACATACAAATCTGAGGATTTGTATGTGGTTGATGCCTGGTTTATTATGCATGTGGTTATTATTATATATCACTGTACTAACCAGATAAAGTACAATCTAAATTGAAGAACTCGGAAGCATAAGAATAATGCCCCACCATCCAAGCCAGTCCCTAAACGCAGGGTGAACAGGGATGCGTCAATAAGCTTCCCACAGGTTCAGGATCACCAACAAACACCCCACCAAAAACAAGGCAGATCTCTTTGAAAGTATTCATACGAGATTGGACAAGGAATGAAGTTATTTAATCATGAGAGGTTAACACTGTATGGCAGGTCTGGTGAGCACCACTTTGGCACGAAGTGGTGCTCTTTGTTCAGGAAGAAACTGAACACTTGCTGCACAGATGAGGTACACTCAAACACAATACTTTACAATTAGAGTATGTGGATGCTGACCTAGCCACATAATGCCAACCAGGTTCAGTGGCAGCTTGGGTGAACAATCCTCACTGAAATAAACATTTGTTAGCATTTAAACCATCCAGGAATTTCTTAAGGCAAAGACCCAATATATAGGGCACAAAAGAACTGGTAGATAGATTATAATTCAAGAATATACATTAATTTAACATACCTGCAACATGAAATTTTGCTGACACCAGAGTACAGGAGTTTTCTCTCCATTTAGTCAAAAAGCCCTTTCTTGTTCGAACAAATTTGAATTCAATAACTGAGATGTTAAGCCACTCACAGACCTGCAAAATTAAAAAAACCAACGTTGAATGTAATGAAACTCCATTTTCTGGGTGAGACCCGGAGGCTCTCCGGAGCTAAACCAGGCTGATATGCTAATATCATACTTTGGCACCAGTAATGTGTATGGAGTCCTAGGGCCTACCGGGGACCATGGCCAGAACCTGGCCCCCTCAGAGAGGCAAGGGAAGCAATGGCCTATAGAAACCCCCATGTGGTTGGAAGCATTCTATGTCTGCCATTGACCGGGTCAAGCATCCAGAAAGGTAAGCATTCCAAAACATAGTGTGACGTCACACGTCACCGCGCCACCGTCTGCGCTGCTCCCCCCTTCCCGGAAGGGAAAGCCCCAGACCTTTCACGCCGGCTATCCACCCATCAGTTCTGAAATTGGATGTCAAAACACGCGAAAAAAACGCCGACCGGAGGGAGGCAGTGCTGCCGGGGAGCCTCCGGATCTCACCCAGAAAATGGCATTTCATTTCATTCAACGTTGATTTTCTGGGGGGAACCCCGTTGGCTCCCCGGAGCTAACTACCCACAGAGGAAGGTTAAAGGGACGGAACCGGGAGGCGGTCACCACGCACCCCTCAACGGAAGCGAGACAACCAGCAGCAAATGCCAACCCAAGATGACACAACCCCGAAAGGGCCCGGGAACAACACGAGACAATGAGCAGCTAGGCCCCCATACGAACACCAAAGGATCCATGCCCGAATGACAGCAAGGACACGTCGCCCAGACGGCAGCAAGAGCAGCAAAGCCACGAACGCCTCGGGCATGGGGAAAGAACACAGGCAGGCTAACCGCAATAATATGATGGACAACCTGGGACACCGTCACCCGCGAACAGGGAAGAACGGAACCGGATCAACTCAAAGCGCACCCCGGACATAGAGGCCGCGGCACGCAAATAACAGCAGAGGGCCGCCACTGAACACAAAATACGACGTACCCCTGGCCCGACCAACTAAGCCCCAACAAACCAAGGACCCCTTCGGAACGCAGCAGCCCCATCCCGTGCCAGAAAAGATGGTGACGGCTGCCACTGAACAACAAAACTCCAATTCCAAAGGAGCAGAAACCCCTGTGGAGGAGAGCAAGAAGCCCAGCGACCCGACCCCCAGAGGCAAATGCCAACAGGAAAAAGAGCCGTCGACAAACAAACCTGAACCGAAGGGGTACCACCAACCGAGGAGAAGACAGAGCACGCTGACCAGAGACCAGGACGGTGCAAGCGACGCACGAACAGGCCAGAGGTAAAACAACGCACGAGACAGCTTACTAACAGTGCAAAAGCAACCCCAAGACCTAAAGCAAGCCGAAGTGGCTCTGCCAGTGCCGCACGAAACGAGGCGACAGTGAGTGGCAAGACGACGGCCCTCAACCCCCACCAGAAAAACCAAGCCGACGCTAACAACCACAGCCACCTAAGACGGGACAGGAGAAAAAGGAAGGACTGCCAAAATACCCCATACTGCCGCCATGAAGAAGCACGCAGGGACACCAACAACGTAGCCACCAGACCACCAACCGGAGGCGAGACACGCGAGGCAGAACGTAATCAGCCTCGACAAGGCTCGTCCGAGTCCAGGAAGAGGTGGAGCCGCGGGAAGATCTCAGGTGCGACCACCAAGAAACCCAAGCCGGGAATTAAGGAGATGGAACTTCTGCCGAACAGAAAGCTCCCCCAATGCGAGCAAGCCCGTCAGGAGATCAGAAACAATGGGTCCAACGCGAGACATCGCAAGACCCTGAAAAGTCAACAGGGACAAGTATAAGGGTTGCCACTAGAACAGTACCCGAACCAAGGGGTACGAGCAATGAAAACAGACCAAGACACATAAGCGCACCATATGACACAGGCGGAAGGAACGCCCAAGAAGCCAAGGAACGCACGAAGAAAACCTCTGCGACAGAGGAGGAAATAAAGGGAACGCACAAGGAAGGGAAGCGGCGGAAACCGACCCCCCCCCCATACAGCAGCAAGTGCAAGCAAAACTGAGCCAAGGAGATGCTAGGGAAGCGACAGGGGAGAGGCAGGATGAAAGTGCCAAAGCTCAAATCCCAGGAAACACAACCAGGAGTGAACCATCAGGCGTGGACAGAACCCCACGCACATGGAAGGACCCAGCCAGGAACCCAAAAACTACGAAAAATAACACAAGTAAACCCCAGGCACAAAACAGCAGCAAAGTGTCACACTTAGGTAATTAATTACACTTAGGTAATTACCACAACCTGACATAGGAACAAGGACACCCCACCGCGAAACACGTTACCAACGCACACGTGCAGCAGCAACATGCACCAGACGCAACAAGTACAATGGGGCCTCGACTTACGATGCTAATCCATTCCCAGAGACGGATCGTAAGTCGAAATATTGTAAGTTGAAGTGATTTTTCCCATAAGAAATAAAGGGATTTGAATTAATCCGTTCCCCACCCTCCAAAATATTAACATACAAATACATTTTATACTGAATACAATGTTTTTTCTAACTACAATACAGTACCAAAGTGTCTCTTACCTTTATGGAGGGCTCTTGATGGCGTATAGAAGATGGTGATGAGGGGGGGAGGAAGAAAGTTATTCCTGTTTGGAAGGGGAGTCCCCTTCCATTATCACATCAGGCAGTGATGTTTTCTCTGGGGTACTCTCTCTCCTACGTTTTGCCTGAACACCACTAGGACCTGGTTGTGGTTCAGTGCTTGTTTGTCTCACTACAAATTTGTCAAGAGACATTTGTTTTTCCCTTTATTTTAACATTTGTCTGTAATGATGCATCACAGTGTCATTGAACAGGTTAAGGCAACGACCTTCTGCAGCTTGATTTGAGTGAGTCATTTCAGCAAAGGTTTGCAATTCTTCCCATGCTGCACACATTTTCTTAATTGTTGAGGAAGACACATTCCGTACTCTTGTTTCTGCTCTATGGTCATCCTTACATGGGTTTTCATATGTTGAGCCTTACTACTGACTTTCCTGGGACTCTTGGCATGATATATAATAATTACTTTAATGTTCAAAATGCAAAATCACCACAAAAGCGGAATTTCTTATAGGCGCGATCGTCACTAAGCAGGCTGCTGTAGTAAACTGAGGCAGGTCGGCTGCGCGACTGGGAACCACGCGCTCGGTCGACCCAAACATGTACCAACAAATATCGGAAGTCGACGACACCATCAGATGTCGAGTCACATTTTTCTATGAAATTTACATCGCAACTCGAAATTATCATAAGTAGGGCCAATCGTATGTTACGGTGCCCTCTCCTATTTCTTTCGTTTGCCGGCTTAAAGAGTCATATCAGCTCTCCCTACTGATTCTCTGAGGTTCAGGGAGTCTAATGATATATGTGGCGACCAGACCGGCTGCCAGTTAAGGGAAGGAAGTTACATTATAAGTTGTAAATAAAGGGAAATTGGCACCCTGTTATAAAATGAAAGAGTATCCCCTAATGCAGATATGACCTTTTGGAAGGGACACTAGCCGATCGCGGATTGGCCGACTTAGGTCGCGGGCGACCAATCAGGGCCCGCCGTGACGTCACCGAGTGCCCCAGGGCGGCGCCAACGTCAGAGTTGACCCGACCTTGGAAGCGACAGGACGCACCTCGGTCTGCTCTCAATGATTAGAGGCTCTACAAGCCTTTCTTAGTGGATTAGTGCTGGCTATTGCAGCCCATCTGCTGTATTGGAGGCCCCGCGCTTCTGGGAAGCAAAAAGGAACCAAGTTTATTGAGCGAAAGAGGGCCAAACTTGGAAAATATTCGGCGACGACGCTGGGCGGCGACGCTGGACGTTGGGGGCCTGAAAAGGTGTGGTGGGCAAGCCTAGCTGTGACCGGGTCACATCCACTGAGGATCTTGGAAGGACGACACCGTGCCTAGGACAAGGAGCAACGCCTTGTGGAAGGGGCGAGTGTGGGAAAATAGTGATTAGCTCAGCGCGCATCGATGAACCAGGATTGGGGCAGCTGAATCTCAGGGATTGGAACGGCGACGACGCGAAGGCTCCACGACACCTGAGGACCCGTGGAACGTCCTGGATCGTCAAGGATCGACCCAAGGAAGCGTGGGAACCTCACACCATCGAGGGACAGGCGTCGTGAGCCAGGAATGTAAGGTAGATCATTTTCCCTCCCATTACCCCTTGTGTGAGTAGGCTAGTTAGGCCACAATATTTACTTATGTATGTGGCCATAGGACATTAATACTTTAGTAGTAGAATAGGCTGCAAGGCAGCTTGTGTCCAGAACCGTCAGAGAGGACAGTGTGTATGGATGGCAGGACAGTGAAGAAGAGGCGCCGACGTGGTGAAGAGGCCCTCCTGTGAGAGAGTGTGGGACTCCTGTCTTGCTGCCCAGTTGAAGGAGTGTTGGAGGTCGAGGAAGAAGAGGCTGACGATCTCCAGACTTATTATCCTTATTTTCATATTCATGTATTACTTGTGATTGTATGTGTGATTATGTAATTTGCATCAGTAAATTCACACTTTTATCATTGTGTTTAAGTGTGCCTCCATTTATAATATTTCTCTATGAGCATACACAAAGGTTATCATAGTACCACCTAGGGAACACTATGTTCTCTATAGAAGTTCTTGTTGCCTGGAGTGTGGTAAAGACAGCACAGACTTACACAAAAGTGTATCCTTAGCCATCCGATCAGTATCAATGCCTGAATGGTGGCAACTATTAACGTGGTGGCTATAGAGAGGTAAAGCCACACAGACTTCCTAGGAGAGTACTCTGGGCCAATAGTCTAGTAGCAGATCTATGGGAGTAGCAATCTTCTGGCTACAAACAATATATATAATACACCCACTGAACTGCATTGCTGGGGTGCAGATAAAATAACCCAGCTGGCGACCTTGTTAAGAAGAAGATAGAGGAGACAGGCGGGAAAGGAGTTCCTGCAACCTTTTTGTCTGGCAGGCAAGATTCAGGGAGGTTATTGTTATAAGGTAAGCCTGAGTCTTCCTTCACTCCTCCACGG